AATAGAGTATTTTTAGGCTTATCCTTCAATTTATAACTACTCTTTTTCTTAAACCAAGAGAGTCATCCCTCATTGAAAAAACAAACTCTCTAATAGAGTATTTTTAGGCTTATCCTTCAATTTATAACTAAGTTGACGACGAGCTAAACTCAGGTTGTAGTTAATTTCACCTTATGTTCCAAGAAGGAGATCATTGGAGAACTACCCATAACTATCAATAATCTGGACATTCTCACAAACAGAAGAAGACCAAGTAATGTCAGCCGTTCAACCGACAATTTTATTGTCTAAAGTATACCCGTATATAAATGAGTTTAGATAATTTATAGATTAATTCGATTTGGATCAACAGGTTCGTAGGTCCATCACACCTATAAACACCTCTACTCAAATGTTACTCTATAAATAAAATTAATTTAAAACTCAAATTATTTTAAAATAATTAAATATAAAACAACGTGTTATTAAATAATTGATTGATGAGTTATGAGTATATATATAAATTACAAAACTGTACCAAAAGTGTTCACTTAAAAGAAAGTGTCATGTACTAGTCAAATTCATTTTTATTACATTATTTTCTGTCAAGTCTTACACTTAAATGAGTAACAACAAAATTGAATTGGATGATACTTTTATTTGTTTCTCAACTTAATTTAAGAGTCGTTCTCTTAAATATTTTCGACAAGATCCATCAATATTTGTAGAATTTTATCATTTTTGTTTTATAAAAAAAAATGTCACATTTGTATTATTTTTGTTTCGTCTCAATACTCCACATTAGCATATAATTCAATAATAATTATTTTTTCCACTAATTAATTCATCTTTATTAAAATTTACCTCACTTAGTTATTAAAATAAATATTATTAATAAAAATAATTTAATAAAAATATAATTAAAATTAACATCAATTATTTATTTTTTAAGAATCATACAAAGAGTTTAATGGTAGCACACTGACAGTGTAAAAAATATTATATATTAGAATTAAATCCAAGACTTTGAGTAATTCTAAATTAATATTAATGAAAAATATTCAATCAACCGATTGAATTCTCTTCTTGTTCTTCACTCCTCACTCAAGCGAATCAATCGCACCTTGATTGCAAGATAATTATGCAACAAACAACAATAGAGAAGAAAAAAACTGAAATGAGAAGAAAGACATATAGGAATTCAATATAAAATAAGGGAAGAAGAAAAATTTCTGCAAAGTAACTCTTTCCTTTTAAAACTGAAATCCTATTCACATGAGTATGCAACTGCATTCAAAAGCATTTACAAAATAGGGGTTATTCCCTATTTATAAATTTATCTTGCTTGCTTTCTAAGCAAAGTCTGTTAAGTATAACAAGTGTGAGTAGTGTGGATAATAGTCTCATATTGAATAGGAATATGGTGACTTGAACATTTATAAGTGGGAGAACCCACACACATATCACCTTAAGATTTTGAGTGAGTATGTGATGTGTCTCTCACAAAGGTGCTGCTCTAGAGAAAGAAAAGTCCCACAATGTTCAATGCTCCATAGTGAAAATCTCTCCCTAACAGTGGTATCATGAGCCTTTGGTTCGAGTGAAGGACCGACTCACTTGTATCGAAAGTACTCACCACCAGTGTTAAGTATAACAAGTGTGAGTAACATGGATAATAATCTCACATTGGATAGAAATGTGGTGACTTGAGCATTGAATATTGTGAGACTTTCTTAACAAGTGTGAGTAGTATGGATAACAATCCCACATTGGATAGGAATGTGGTGACGACTTGAGCATTGAATATTGTGAGACTTTCTTAACAAGTGTGAGTAGTATGGATAACAATCCCACATTGGATAGAAATGTGGTGACTTGAGCATTTATAAGTGGGAGAACCCATACACCCATCACCTTAAAGTTTTAGGCGAATATGTGGCGTGTCTTTCATAAAAGGTGTTGTTTTAGAAAGAAAGTCTCACAATATTAAATGCTCAAGTCACCACATTCCTATCCAATATGAGACTATTATCCATATGCTCACACTTGTTATACTTAACACTTTCTCTCAAGTGTGAGTCTATCCACAACGCTTTCACATTGCTTTCACATTGCTCTCCCTTAAGCGAAAGTTTCAACTGTGCAACTGCACTTTCTGTTGTATGTTTCTTTCTCACCGTCCTTGTACCACCGTTGACACTTTTCAACGAGACACCTTCTAACCACCACCTGTGGGGAGTACTTTCGATACAAGTGAGTGAGAGATTTTAACTAGGGAACATTGAACATTGTGGGACTTTCCTTTCTCTAGAGTAACACCTTTGGGAGAGACACGTCACATACTTACCCAAAACCTTAAGGTGATAGGTGTGTGGATTCTCCCACTTATAAATGCTCAACTCACCATATTTCTATCAAATGTGAGACTATTATCTACACCACTCACACTTGTTATACTTAACACTCCCCCTTAAGGTTTTAGGTGAATATGTGGTGTCTCTCTCACTTGTGTTGCTCTTGCCCAATGCTCAATGCTCCATAATTGAAAAACTCTCCCAACAAATGGTATCATGAGCTTTGACTCGTAAAGAGACCGACTTACATGTATCGAAATATCTAGGAAGTGGTGTCCCGTTGAAATTGAAATGCCTAGTAATAGGTGTCAACGACGGTGCAAATATATGTGGACAAAAATGAGTTTCCACATGAGGGGGAGCATTGTGGACTCACATTTGATGGAGATTGTTGAGAATAATATAACAAGTGTGAGTTGGAGTCCTACATTGGTTATAATTATGGAAAATTGAGCATTTGTAAGTGGGAGAATCCATACACCCATCACCTTAAGGTTTTGGGTAAATATGTGGCGTCTTTATCACTTGTGTTGCTCTTGCCCCCAACAAAAGACACAAAATACCTAAATTTTGTCAACACTACAAAATTAGATTTAAGGCAAAATCTATCTGGAGTCTAACTCCTCGGCACTTTGACAATTAAGTGTTTTGACGGGAACATGCTTCGACATTATGAATTACATTCTCACCATCACACATAAATTCAATAAAAAACTTTAAAGTGACGGGATACATGATTATCATTGGTTGACAATGTAAAAATAATTTATATTATCAATAAACTATTATTTTTCTCTCTTATACAAATGGGTATGACAACATAAAAAGACGAAGAAAAGTTTTTACATATATCAACTTTGTCTCAAATTTAGGCACTCTTTTTGCTTATAATTTGATTGAGTTTCTTTGAATCACACCACTCTTAAAAAAATTAATTTTTTATTAAAATAAAATACATTTACATATTTTTAAATTTTTGTATTTTATTTTTTAGAGTTTAATAAACATGTATTCTCAGTGTAAATTTTTTAGACGGAGATACAATAAAAAAATCATCAATTTTTCAATTTTTCAAATTGTTTTTAAATATCAGTATGATTTAATGGATAATATTGTTCATTAGATGATGATGTAATTCTATACCGACAATATATCTTCTATGTCCTCTTTTTTTTTAATAGAGTAGAAAAATAAAATGAGATAATAGTATTCAAAATTAAATGAATCATATAACATAAACTTTTTTAAACAAAGTTTTTAAATATTAAATCATAAGAAAATACTCTTTTCTACTAAAAAAATAACATACTCTTTCAATAAGAGTGAAAGTCTATTTGGTAAGAAAAAAATGTATCTTTTACTTTTTATCTTTTGGCTTTTTAATTGACAATAGTAAGGAATTTTTAATTTGTGGCTTTTTCTTATTAGTTTATGATTTTATTTTTAAATTATTTAGAATAGCTTTTTATTTTATATATTTTAATTCCTATAAAAAAAACCTGGTAGCTCTTAACTATTTCTTTTTTTATTTTTCATTTGTATCTTTACTATTTTAACAAAAGTCAATCTTTTATGATTTATATTTTATTATAATTTAAAGTAAAATAAATATGTAATAGCATTATAATTTTATTGTAAAATATATTTGATGTTATGAGTGTGTTTACTAATAAAGTTTATCAAATAAAAATTAATTTAATGATATTATATAAAAGATAAGAAAAAAATACACTGTCAACCAATCAACGACGTGTATTTTATCACATCACACTTTAAAATTACGTTGATGACATAATAAATTAATGAATTTCTATTGAATAACAGTGTAAAACTACTCTACATTATCACTTCACTATCTTTAATTTTAAAAGATAATAAAGTAATTAATTTTTCAATAAAAAATATCATTTTGTTATTTTGTATTTACTCATAAATATAATTGCTAATTTATCAAATATTTAAATTAATTAATAAACTATCAACTTTTTTTTTTCCATGTCTATACACTAACCTTCCCCTAAATACAATTTTAATAACATAATTTAAAAAGTGAGGATCAACTTACTTCAAAAATGAATTTTTTTAATTTACTTTACATCAAAGTCTTTAAATTTAATTTAATGGTTAAATTGACATTTTTATTTTTAATTATTTAATTAAATTTAATTTAAAGATTATAATTGTAGAATAAATTATAAAACTTACTCCAGAAGGAAGTGGAACCTCACTCTAATTTAAAACCTATTATATTATTTATAAAGCATTCAAATTATTCTAGAAAATGGTTGTGATATTCTAATTAAAAAAAGATAATTGTTGTGATATTTAATTTTTGTTATATAAAAAAAAAAGTCAAATTAAATTTATTGTTATGATATTAAAATATAATAACTCCCGATATAAAAATAATCTTCATCTTGACCAAAAAATAAAAAATAAAAAATCTCCATAAACCCCAGGGCCCAGGGGAATGCATCAACGTCAGCTACTCCCTCCCATTGATCCATTTTCCTGTCTTTAATTCTCTCATCATATATAAATACAACCACCAAAACCACTTCCACTTTTCTGTTTTCAATCACTCTCAAACATTGAAAAATCGCGTCAATTTTCTTGGAAAATTTCCGAGTCTTCTTCGTCTGAAAATCTCAATTGAATTCGTTATCGATGTCTTCTTCCAACCAGCACCAGTTCCGTTACACTCAAACTCCGTCCAAGGTTCTTCACTTCCGCAACCTTCCGTGGGAGTGTTCTGATGAAGAACTCGCTGATCTTTGTAGTCCGTTTGGGAAAATTGTCAACACTAAGTGTAATGTTGGCGCTAATCGGAATCAAGCTTTTGTTGAATTTGTAAGCTCATTCATCAATTCTGAATTTTCTGTTTTATTTTTTTATTTTTTTATTGTTATGGACATGTTAGGGTTTTATCTAGTGAATTTTGATGAATTTTGTTTTTGTTAGTATTAGAAATTATGAGCTTATTGTTTAAGTTTGAGACTGAGCTGAGTTCGTAGATTGATACTTCATTTTTTCACGAACAATTCGACTACAAAGATTGGTAATATGCTGATCATAAGTTATTTGTTTCTGCAACTGGTGATCAAATAGGCTTCCGTGTATGTTCTTTTAGCTTTTTTTCCTTAATTAAAGTGCCAAGTCGATGACAGCTTACAAGAGAACAACAGCAGGGATATGGCTCGAAATATAAGCTATACTCATATGTTGCACCATATGCTTTCTTATATTTGATGACACATCTTGATTTGGTGCTCTATTGATTTTCCAACTCAAGGTTCTAAGTTCTTATGTATACATGCTTTACTAGGTGGATCTAAATCAAGCAATTTCAATGGTTTCATATTATGCCGCATCTTCAGAGCCAGCTCAGGTTCGTGGCAAGACTGTTTACATTCAATATTCTAATAGACATGAAATTGTCAACAGCAAAGGCCCTGGAGATGTCCCTGGAAATGTCTTGCTGGTAACCTTTGAAGGTGTTGAAGCTGGAGATGTGAGCATTGATGTTATCCATTTGGTAAGTGATACTGTGTTCACTAGTACATTTGGATTTGGGTGAGGTTCGATGTGCCTTGTTTGGGTAAACTCTGTGATGTACAACCTATTTTTTAATGTATAATAGCTGATTTTGGACGGATTCAAAACATTTCTTTATTCTTTATTCAGGTGTTTTCTGCATTTGGCTTTGTACACAAAATTGCCACATTTGAAAAGACTGCAGGTTTTCAGGTTAGTGACATAGTGAATTGAACTTCTTTCAATGTATCTTGGATGTATTCACTCCGTATTATTTCTGGGTAGGCTCTGATTCAATTCACTGATGCGGAGACTGCTTCTTCGGCTAGGAACGCACTGGATGGAAGAAGCATACCCAGGCAAGCTTTGCTTTTTCATTTCTACCTTTCTTCTTGACCCTCATAATTAATTGTGATTGCTTTTATCTCTAGATACTTGCTCCCTGAGACTGTTGGTTCTTGCAACTTGCGTATCTCGTACTCAGCACACACAGACCTCAATATCAAATTCCAATCCAATCGGAGCAGGTAGAAATGAGATGCATGACACCTATCATATTATTCCTTGTTTACACTTTATTGATGTGTCTCGTTGAGTTGTCAGTAAATATGCCGAAGTCCTCTAAACCCTTGCATGTAATTCAATAATTTGTCAATTGTCTTATTTGCCAATTGATATGCGTGCTTTATTTTTATTCATCTAGAAGTTAGTTATACTTGGTAGTCACAATATAGTCATCTTGTTTGTGAAATGCAATCAGTATTATTCACTTATGATAGCTGATTGCATAAATCTATCTTTTGTGAATGTCGGTAATATTTGAACATACTGGAACATTAATATCTACTATGTAATTGTTGTCTCAAATCACAATTCAATTTTTTCTCCTTGATCTGTATCGATTATGGATATAAGTATGATTTAAATGAATGTGCAACTGCCTTTTGTAGCCGTTTTTATTTCACATTTATCACACTTGTACAGAATCTTCTAGTTTTGTTCAAAACAATTTTTTTTCCATCTATGGTCGATTATGCAAAAACCCTACTAGCCAATATCAGCGACTCTTTCTAATAATTATAAGATATATCTGGCCGCACTTATTTCCCCTCCTTTATGGAGATTCCAAGCTTAAAACACTTTTCATTTCTTCTAGCCATGCATCTCTTAGAATTAGAATTAGAATTAGAATTAAAAGGTTATCTAATCACGTTGTCTTACCACATCTGTGACTTATCTTGCTAGTCATCCATTTTGGTACATAGGTTTTATGATCTTAGATTGTCATTTCACACACTAAATTCCTTTGATCTTTAATTCCTGCATGACATTGTTTGAATGTGCATAGTCAAATATCTGTTTCATAGATATTCTATAGATATTAGTCCTACTTCAATGCATGGTTTGGTTACATCCAATTTTCTGTCTATGTAGGGACTACACTAATCCTATGCTTCCTGTTAATCAGACTGCCATTGACAGCGCTTTACAGGTATTTGGTTCATACTTTATATTTTCTTTATTCATATATATGTATTTGCATATTTTCAGTATATGCTAACAACTCATGATGTTCGGTCTGCAATTGGTCCTGATGGAAAGAGGAAAGAACTAGAGAGTAATGTGCTTTTGGCTACAATTGAAAATATGCAGTATGCAGTCACCGTAGAAGTTCTTAATACGGTGAGAATTTATTTCTCATTAAAATGGAAATTTATAGGTGTGTTATATTTAATGCTTCTGACATACATTTACAGGTGTTTTCTGCATTTGGCACTGTTCAAAAAATTGCTATATTCGAAAAGAATGGGCAAACTCAAGCACTGATTCAATACCCTGGTATTGATGTTATTTGACTTGATGCTCTTTAGTTTGTATTCTTTTTTTATCTAATAGTGTCTATCTCTCTCACAGCGTAAACAAGTTTTCAGAAATAACATTATAGTTATGCTTCATCTTCATGCAATTTGATGATAACTTTGCTTCTTTCAATGTTGATTATGGATGAGGCTTTTCCCCCCCTTTTCAGATGTTACGATAGCAGCAGCTGCCAAAGAAGCTTTAGAGGGACACAGCATATATGATGGTGGCTATTGTAAGCTTCATCTAACATACTCTCGTCATAGTGATCTCAATGTTAAGGTATAAAAATATATGTTTGAGTTAATATTAATGAGGTAAAAGAATATGAGAAGGGGGTGAGGAGGATAAAATATACTCTTAGGAACAGTTTGGCAGTTTGGTTTGGACATTTTCTTGATCAGAAATAATTCTCGAGTGTCTTCTTCTCAACACTTGATTGACCGTTTATAATATTTCTTTTAATCTCTAAATGACTTTTCACAGAATCTGATTTTAGTATTGTAAATGGTTTCAGGCATTCAGTGAGAAAAGCAGAGACTATACAGTGCTAAATCCTAGTCTCCATCCTGCATGGCAGAATACTCAGGCTGCTCCTATGTACCCTGGTTTACAGGGACAAATGCCATCATGGGATCCAAACCAGCAAGAAGTTACACAAAGTTATTTATCGGCACCTGGTACTTTTCCTTCTGGTCAAGCCGTTCCTCCGGTTCCTGGCTATTCCCCAGCAGCTGCACCCCCCTTCGATGCCTCACCTCATTCTCATATGCCTCCCGGTTCATTTGCCGATGCTTCTCCTCCTGGTATTCAACCTTATTATGGTTAGGAAGGAAGGTAGATTTCATCTGAACTACAATCCCTTGCCCCTATAGATTTTTTCTCTTCCACCAACTTCTCAAGTTGGATTTCGTTGCATCATACCAAATTTCAGTTTTGGTTTCTAGTTTCGATTTCGAGTATGATGCTTTTTGGGTATTATCTTTTACTTATTACAGGGATCTTTATGTACTGGTTTATTCATTTAGTAACTTTCATTCTCCATGCCAATAACCCTTCTATGGTACAAAGGCATGCAGTAGTTAAATAGTTTCATTTTATTCTGTATGATTTAGATTCCTGATTTTTTCAGTGTTGTTTTCCTTTTGTTGCTTTTAATGGGTGTGTTAATTGTTGTCTTCTGCACTGCTTCAAAATCAGATAGAATTTATTTTATTTGGCTTAAAATTGGGATTTAATTGGATTTGTAGTGAAACTTTGTTAGAGGTCTAACGCGGAAGATTTTGTATGGTGATTTTACATTGCCAATCAATGACGATCATGTATCCTACTAAATCAGACCGAAATATTTAATTTACTTTTATGACATGGTAGAGTGATATATACTCATTGGATGACAGTATAACATTTTAATTTGACAAGGATGGTAGCGTATCTCCTTTGAACTCTTGCAAGAAAGAGAAAAAAGATGATGCACTGACAGTGTAAATTAATTTGACAGTTATTTTGACATGTAACCATCCTTGTTTTTGGCAAATGCGTGATTTAGAATATTTGATAATTTTATAAAAATGAGATCGTCTAAGTTGTGAATTAGAAATAGACAGATTAAATGCTAGTTTAACCATTGTGGCGTTTTGCATGATTGCCTTTACACGTGGCCCTAGGTTCTTAGAATAGGATGTGACCCTCTCTTCTAGGATGCTTAAGTATACTCGAATATTATGGTATTTTTGAGATAAATTTGACCATTGTTTTTCATCTACTTGACTTCCTTCATTTTGGTCAGTTGATTTGCCATGCTTATCTCTTCACTATATAAAGGTCATCTTAACTTTCAGTTGATCTACGATTGTTTGAGGGTTTGCGCTTTTGTTGAAGTTTTTTGATTTTTGAGTGGCCAAGAACCCAATGGCAATGAGATTAGGGAGCGTCTCCACTTTTGAGATTATTCTTTAATTCATGAACATTATCTTTTTGTTGAAAGTGGGTTAGACATGGCTTGAAAGGACCAACGAGGCATTGTGCTTCCTGTCGATGTTTGTTCAATATTTTTGGATGGAAACCAAAGTGGCGGGGATGGTTTCCACCATTAGCGACGATCAGTGCTTGGAATATGCTTACTCACATGTAAAGCCATCTTTTGACTAGTTCGTTTCCTCCTTTGACCCATACAAGAAAGTTTGCATTTCATTTCATAGGAGTTCAATGTTTTTTTTAATGAATGTTTATTTTCTAGATTGAAGTTTATACTACTTTTTAACGGTTTTTAAGGCAGTAGTTTTAAATCACTTGAGGATTGTACTATCCCAGGCGTACCCTGTAGCTCAGGCCTTAGTTAATTTATTTCAATATTGGTGCAAGTACTCGAGAGGAGTGCCAACCTTGAGATTATTCCTCAACCTCTTCAATGTGACATGCCCTTCAACTTAAGTAAAACGAAGGCAAGGGTTGCTCTCGCTTCGTTAGTCGGTGAAGGTGTTTAACACTACCTTGAGAGCTGGAAGAATTTTAAGGATCACTACTTCTTGGTTACTCCATAGACTTGAGAATCTCATTCTTCTTTTTGCATTCTACTCGAGGATGGTCCCTCCGACCCCTTTTGTTCGGAGCCAATGAAATGGGAGAACATGATTTAAAAATACTGGACCTAAGATCATTTCTTCTAGCCACCTAAAAATTATGCTTTTTCTTCTAACTCTCTAACATTAAAAGATGAGACGTTGAAAGAGAATTTTTTTTCCTTTTGGGAGAGATAAGACTACGAAGATGGTGTAAACCCTTCTAATATACCTCCTACACAACAAAAAAAAAGGCAAGATATTGATAGTAGGTCCGTTGTAGAAACACCCAATGCTCAAGAGAGGAAGGATCTTTTTGGTGAAAAGAGGGAAATGTTTTTTAATTTGTCTTCATTGTCCTCTTAACATTTTTTCCTAACACATTTTTTAATTGTCTTGCAAATAACATGAGAGTGATATATGATATATTTAATAAAAGAAAGATAACATGATGAAAAAGGCTTCCTCGTCTCCTTTTCCGACTTTCAATATGATCCCAGACGAAGACAAAAGTAGGGAAGATCCAAAAAGAGAGGGATGCTCCACATGTAGAGCAGGCATTGACACAATCGTGAATACCTTGTGAATGTCGAAGCAAAAAGTCCCCCCCATGTATGATCTCTGACATCCGTCAGGAGCACCACCAAAAAAGATCGTAACAAAGGTTAGGATCTAGGGGGGATGCTGCCAAGAAGTCCAAGCTATCACAACACGAAATAAAGGGAATTCCTCTGGAGGGTAGCCTGGTTGTTTTTCCTACATACAAGCTTCCCGAATTCTCCACGAGTAGGGGCCCCGTTCATCTAAGAATGTGCATTCCTACAAGCTTGAAAGGGACTTTGCCGATATCGAGAATCTGTTAGATACAACTAAACTAGAATTGATAGTAAATCCTATAGATTTATATGCTTGCAAGTACAATTGTGTGTAACCGTCAAATGATCTTAGGGTTTTTATGATGACAACACCATATGTTAAACATCATATGATGAAGTCCTTGATGATCTCAACTCTAGAAACCTCTAATGATGGTGTCTATCAAAGAATTCACATCAAACCTTATTAATAGAATAGTCATGTTCCAAATGAAGTGCTAAATTAATAATGAATTAAGTAGAGGAACTTGAAGGTTCAAGGTTGTGAAAGAAAGGAAATGCAAAAGCTCGTCTGGTCCTGTGTCTAAGTGATCAATTGAATGTAAAAGTATATGAGTACTCACAAGATACTAAGGCAGCTCACACACACATAAAAATATTTTGAAGCCTTTTTTTAAAACACCTGAAAATGTTTTTATGAATGTGCCTAAGTGACTACTGACTCGATGAAATAATTATGAGTGATTTTTACACTAGATAATTGATTAACATGTTAGGGTTAATCAATTAACACATTAGAGTTAATTGATTAACATGTTAAGATTAATCGATTAACTTTTGTAACGCCTCTCAATCGTTTAAAGAGGCTTATAATCGATTAGTGAATGAGGATTTGAAAATCTTCCATATTTAGCTTATCTAATCGGTTACGTTCCAGGGTTAATCGATTAAATCATCAGAAAACCCATTGATATTTTCCTTTTGAGTCAAATTATTTCCTATAAATATAGGGTTTTTTCCTCATTCTTGTTTTATACCAGAAATCAAATATATAACTATTCTTTCTCATTTCTACTCTCTCATACTTCATATTTTTCTATTGATTTACAAAGTTGCCTTAGTGTCAAGATAGTGAAAAATACTTGTGAGAGTTTGATTGTACTGAAGGGGTGATGCATTTGTTCTTGTTCAAGGGTGTGATCTTTTGAGCAATACTCTTGTTTGGTTCTTAATATTAACCTGTTAAAATCTTTGTCTTGTTCTTGAGATCAACTGGTTAAAATCTCTATTTGTTTTGTGAGTTCAGCTTGTTAAAAGCTTTGTTCGGTTTAATGATTATCTTATATAAAATCTCTCATTATTGTAAAATGTTTGTGGACATATCCTTAAAATCTCAAGACTCTATTAGTGGAAATCTCAATAGGAATCTCTTGGGGACATGAGTATTCCAAGTGGTTGGTCGAACCTATATAAATTTTTGGTGCATTCTCTCTAACTTTATCTCTTTTATTTCTCTTATTTACTTTTTATCTCCTTTTTCTTCTTCTCCACTTTTATATCTCTATTAAACTAACATAAACCGTATTTTAAGAAAGAATTTTAAAAAAATAAAATTGATTTCTAAATAAGAGAATTCACCTCATCTTGTGTTTTGAGTCACCTCTTTAACTTAAAAAACTTTCTAGATATGTCGGGGTGTTACCTTGATATCCATGGCAATTGCTGGTCAATGTGAGGTTTTGCCACCTAAAATCCATTCCAAGGAAAAACCCCTACTTTAATATACATTTCCTCACAAATTTTTTACCTCGGTTGGACATAGACCCAAAGTGAAACCTTTAAAATTAAATGTTTTTCTTTTTTATTTATTTTTATATGAAAAATAAATTAGATATCCCCTGGATTTGAAGGATAACCCGAGGGGAAAAGTTTAACATGTTATGCGTTAAACTCCAAGTGTTTTCCTATTTTATTTTTAATTAAAATTGCACAATATTTCACCTCGATTTCATCTTTTAGTCAAAGGGAAAACATAAAAGTCATTGATTCAAATCTCAGTGACAATAATTTTGTGTTTTATTTTTAAAATAAGACGCCTTCCTTTTTTTAAAAAAATTAAATAAAAAATATATTATATTCTCTCTCGGTTGCGATTAACAATCGAGAAGGAAAATTAACTAGTTTTTTTTCAAAGGTGTATATAACACTATACGTTCTTTAACTCTTGCAGTTTCGTTAACAAAACTCTAGACGCATTTTCTTTCCTCTACCTCCAAACTTCATCCTCGATTAACCAAACCTTATTTCTCCACTAAACCAAAATTGAAAACATCATTTAAAGCATAAATGAAACTCCAAAATATTATTTCTTCTATTAACGAGTTTAGCATCTCCATAATTTCTTCTCCAACTTTAACAATTTAATGTTTAATGTAATTGTTGTTGTCGTTTAAGTTTAAGGAGTAAAAACTCTATTGATTTTGTTGTTGTTGTTGATCATGATATAACACCACCATTAGGGTTTATTGTTGTTCTTGTTGTTGCTATTGTTGCTGATGTCTAAATTCCTTATATTTGATGTTGATATAACACATCCTTAGTAAGGAGAAAACTATAGTCCTATAAGGTAGTGGCAAAATGGACGACCTATGGAAATTGTTTCTACTATAGTT